GGGAGGAGTGGATAGGTGGGAGGAAGGGCAGACAGGTTAGGGAGGCGGGGACGAGCTGGGCTGGTTTTGGGATGTGGTCGGGGGAGGGGAGATTTTGAAGCTTGTGAAGTCCTTCCTCCCACCTATCCACTCCTCCCCCCCCCCCCCCCCCCCCCCCCCCCCCCCCCCCAACTTTGACCTATCCATCTCCTCTCCACCTATCTGCTCCTTTATCCATCTTCCATCCGCCTCCCCGTCTCTCTCTCTTTATTTCAGAACCCCCTTCCCCTCCCCCATTTCTGAAGAAGGGTCCAGACCCGAAACGTCAGCCTTCCTGCTCCTCTGATGCTGCTTGGCCTGCTGTGTTCATCCAGCTCTACACCTTGTAATCTCAGATTCTTCAGCATCGGCAGTTCCTACTAACACTGAAAGACTAATACTACAATTTTGTGGCAACCTTATGAAATACAGTGAGCAATTTACAACTATTCAGATACTTTTTTTCCTTTAGTAAAGTATAACAAATGAATGGGATGGCACTACCTCGGCGAGTGAGAGTTTGTGTCCCTTGCAAAAAGGTCACGAGCAAAATTCCATAGTTGACAGCCACTGTCCATAGCCTCTCTCAAGCGGCCAATTAAAAATTCTTCACATGTAAGCCTAACCTTGACATTAACTGGCACTCAAACACACACTTCATACTGAATCAGTGGACAGTGAACAGGAGTGCTAGCCCTGATGGATTTTCCTGCTCGTCATCCAATGCATGCAGAAAGCAATTGCAACTGCCTGACTGTTATCTGACTCAGTCCAGCCCTGGATCAAATCTGGGGCTTTATTGGACATTATGCTTAAAAAAATATGGAATTATTAGCCAAAGCATAGACTACAAAAGCAGGGTGGTTATGCTGGATCTGTACAAAGTGCTGGTTTTGAAACAGCTGGAGTACTTTGTGCAGTGCTGGTCACCACATCGTAGGAAGAATGCGATTGCTCTAGCGGGGGTGCTGAGGAGATTAATCCGGATGCTGCCGGGGCTGCAGAGATCAAGATCGGAGAAAATGATTGTAAAGGCTGGGGTTCTTTTTCTTGGACAAGCAGAGGTTGAGCGGGGACCTGATAGAGATCTAAAAGATTGTGAGGGACATACAGCTGAAGAGTTTTACAGCACAGAAAAAAGGCCTATCAGCCCATTATGTTAGGCACCAGTCAATCTACTTTAATCCTACTTTCAGCACTCAGCCTGTAGCCTTGTATGCTATGGCATTTCAAGAGCTCATCTAAATACTTCCTGAATGTTGCAATGGGTCCTGCTTCTACCACCTGTCAGGCAGTGAATTCCAGAGACCCTCTAGGTGAAAAAGAGTCTTCCTTAAGCCCTCACTAAACCTCCTATCTTTTACCATAATGCTACATGCCCTGGCTATTGATTCCATTGCTAAGATGAGTAGTTTCTTCCAATGTACCCTGTCTATATCCCTTATAATCTTGTATACCTCAACTAAGCTTCTCCCCCACTTCCCTTAGCCCTCTCTGCTATAAGGAAAACTGTACAGCCTATGTAGTCTCTCCTCCTTTGCTGAAATGCATCAGCCCAAGCAACATCCTGGTGAATCTCCTCTGCACTCTGTCCACAGTGTATAGGAAAACACTTTATCCATCAGTAGAAGGGTCAATAACCAGGAGGCAAAAATTTAAGGTTAGAGATAGAAGGCTTAGAGGGGAGTTCAGGGGGTTTTCTCACCGAGATGATGATGAGAGTCTGGAACTCACTCCCTGAAAGGGTTTTGACTGAGAAACTTACAAGAGATCCAAGCAGTATTTACATATTTAATTGTATTGCCATTGCCTCCAGTGCTATTGGCCAAGAGCTGGAAAATGGGATTAGTGTAGTCAGAGTTTTGTTGACCGCTGTGAACCCAACAGGGTTAACGGCCTCCTGTTGTACCAACAACATCTATGGGTCTGAATGGGTAAATATATCAATTAGTGTACTTAATGAGCGAGTCATTAGGGAATTTTGTCCTTGACTTTTTAAGTTCATTCATGGGATGTGGGTGCTGCTGGTGAGACTATTATTTACTGCTCGTCACGAATTGTCCTGGAGAAACTACAAACATGATCGGAGTGCAATAAGCTCAAGCATTGTTGCGAAGCTGAAGAGAAATGAAAACACATATCCATGATTTTCTGAGCTCACCTCAAATTATGTAGGACCTTCTCCAATTTGAATTCGGATAGATATTTGATGACTGCTGCCAAACATGAAACAACCGATGTCTCCAAATTTAATATTATGGACAACTGTTGTGATTCTACAAAACAACAAAAAAATTAATTTTTTCTGTACATCCGCATAAAAAGCGCATGAAGCTCCAGTAGAAGCAGCACTGTGAAAACAATTTGGTATTGGCTACCAAGACAGTTCAAAAAGCCCCAGGAATTAATAGGAAATCTTTATTACTACCCTTCAGAGATACAGTAAGAACAAACAATAAAATCCAGTCATCTCACAGCTTCAATTCATTATGAAACATTTGCTTTGAGGAAACAAAACATAACCTGACAGAACAAATTATGGCAGTGGGGGACTGCTCTCCTGACAGGGTGGTCTCTACGTCTAAGTCAGGAGGCTTAGCTTCAAATCCCACATGCTCCAGAGGTCCATGATAACATCCCTGAACAGGGTGATGATTAAATATCCAGAACAAATGATCTGATACACCCCTTCCCCTCCACCACCATTAACATAAGTTTATGAAGCAGCAAGGATTTCAAAAGAAGTCAACAGTTAGTCTTATTTCCCTTGGTGGAAAATGTGAGTGTAGCATCAGAAACTATAGAATTGGGCATTAGTAACCAATTTATTCTCTGAATGATACTTCAATACACACAACGGAGCATATAGGGGGAAGAGAACATTCAGTTCATTTTCCCTATTCTTCTCACAGGTCATTGAGCTCTTTATGTACTTACACACTCCACCTTGGACATGTGACCCAAAAAAGGTAGATTTTAAACAAGTATCATAGAGTGTTGGAGGTAGACAAGAAGGAAAATTTCCTGAAGTCATCAACTGAAATTCCCCAAGACTACCCATCCACAGTCTTCAGCTACTCAAACTTGTCTTGCTATTCTTTACGCATGACCTTCTTTTAGCAAAAACTGTTTGCATTTGTATAGCATCTTTAACATGGAAGAACATTCCAAAGTACTTCTTGCAGGCATAACCATAAGATTTATTATTTCAATTTCCAACACCATTTCCCCTTCTGTAATTTAAATCAAGATTACGTTCATTGAAAAAGCATAGATCAATTTGTTTTTGAAGAAAATTAGTTGAGATCCAGTTCATTTGAACTTAGCATACACAGTTCATTTGGACCTAGAGACAGTCTGCATAACTCATCAAACCAGCCCTGTCAGCTACAGAATTCCAAGAGAAAACATGTGGTCTGTGTAGTGGTTGTAACAAGGTCAGCCAGGTGGACCTCACAGAATACGAGTTCCCGGATTGGAGCTGTTAATCTGGTCCACTCAGAGAGCCCTGGCTGACAGATTTAAAGAGGAGTGTCAGAGGTCCTGTTCTCCCTGAGAGCTGGCTCTGAGGGAGCTGGATCAGTGTCAAGGATTTTCCACTTGTAAATAAAAGGGCGACTTGGTAACAGGATATCAGCCTATGTGGAGTTATTTCAATCTGAATTTTAAATCATTGACCACTACCCGATTCCAGAACAAAAGGCCAGGTCTCTAACTTCATGTCACGTAAATATTTATAACGCCTTTAAAACTGTAATAACTACAGCCTAGTTATTCTCTTTAAGTAAATGTTTCCACGTATTTAATGTTCATGACTTTAATGGCCAAACAGCATTAAATTCTTCAATTCTAAGAATCTACCATTATTTTTATACTGAATTCACAGAAATGTTTACAGGAGTGGAATAGTTTGTCTGCGGTTAATACAGTTTCAAAATCTACAGCACAAGCAAACCCTACATTTAATGCCCCTCCAAATAAGTGGGCTAGCTGTCACCTACATAAATTTGCTCCACTGTTCTTATTGAAAGACAGAACAACATTTATTGAACCACAACTACAAACAGCATAATACTACTAATAATAAATATTAAAAGTAATGATGTAGTTTACCCTCGCTAATGTTCTCTAGTCCGATTACCCTCTGAGATCTCTACAACCCTCAAATTATTGCCTCTAGCACACGTTGATTTTCTTGCTCCACCACTTGCAGCCTCCAACGGTCTAAGCCCTAAACTCTGGAATTCTCTCCCTGAGGCTGTCTACCTTCAACACTCTGCTTTTATGATACTTGTTTAAAATCTACCTTTTTTGGGTCACATGTCCAAGTATCCTTTTAGGAGTTTCATTATAAGGCCTCTCTGAAGCATCTTAGGATGTGTTATTACATCAAGCATAGCAATGCAAGTTGTTATTGCTAAGTATTCTGCAACTCTTCTGTTCACAGTTACTAAGGACCTCTCAATGACAAGAGGCCAGTAAAAAAAAAAAGAGTTTGCAAATACATCTCCACCTGTTTAGAGACCCTGCATATTGAAATATCAACATCTAGGACATTGCACAACTACTGTTTGATACAATTTTCTGTAACAGTGCTACCTTGATAAAGACTTTTATAGTTTAGTGTAATGTATTAGTACCTGAAACATCAGGCGCTCTTTGTGCGTAAAACTCAGAGGTCACCTGGAAGGCGTGACTATATTCAAAGTGAATACTGTCCATTCGCTCTACACGAATTCTGTCATCACGTAAGCTGCAAGAAAATATAAAGGATAATCAATTATATGTTTTTATACATTAGCAAATCTGCACAGTGGAAAACATGTTGCTTAAAAACCAGTTTTGTTTCAAGTTGGGAATTCTCCATGAAGAACCCAGAGGAACTAGGACTGCTCAAAAATTAATGTTCATGAATTAAAATGCACTTTTGCAATCAATAACTCATTACAAACACAATAATGATACAGCTGCCTATCTCGGAATTCATCACTTTTTTTTACAGCTGGGAATGACTCGTACAGAAAATTTGGACAAACAGTCACTTTAAAACATATCTCAAGGTTGTATTTCAAGCGACTACCTTGGCTCAGTTAGTAAAACTCTCACGTCTAAGTCACAAAGTTTTGGATTCAAGTCCTACTCCAAAGCTTGAGTACTAAAATAAAGGCTATAGCACAGCTGTGTTTTCGTGGCGTATCTTTTAGAAAACACAATGTACAACTGATGTAAGTAAACAATGTCATTTCAAAGTTGAAAATGTTTTTTTGTGAGGAAAACGTGCAATCATGAATGTACTGGTCAGTTTGAAACTACAACTCAAAACACCCAGGATTTTAAAATTCCCCTGAGATACGTAATCTTTATCACCAATACAGCAAGATCCGGATAATGTCCAGATTGGAGTTGGAAGGTGGCAGGAAACATTTGTGCCACATGAGGGTAAGTAATGTCCATCATGAACAAAACAAGACATCAGCACACAAGCGGGAGAGGCTGCTTTACATCTGTACTGCCAGTAACAGCCGCCCCTTTCCTCCAGCAACCATTACTGTTGGTCATATTGCAGTTTTCACTGTACCAATACTCCAAGATGACAAGTATTTGATAAATGAAATAAAAAATAGGTAAGCTTATGCTTTAAAAATGATCATTTAAAGTGAAAACTGACAAAACTCTGTTTTGAACATCTAAATGGTTTCAAATTAAAATACATTGTTGCGTTTTCAGTGCATTACAGAATGTATGGGCACACTAATACAAGTGAATCACTAAACAATTGTGCATGTAACACATTCAGCTTTCCTTAATATAGGAGGTAAAAAGGAACATGTCTCTCACCTTCAGCAGCACTCATTGCTGAGCTCCTCCATTATTAATATGCAAGGTTAGATGGAGTACCAATGATCAGAGACTTGGAACAAGGTCAGCCAGGTGAAGCTCAGAATATGAGTTCCCTGATTGGGGCTGTAAACCTGGTCCAACCAAAGAGTCTTGGCTGACAGCTATAAACAGCAGTATCAGAGATTCTGTTCACTCTAGAAGCTGGCTCTGAGCGAGCTTAGACAGTGTCATGTACTACGTACTATGCACGTGTAAATAAAGGGCAACTTGGTGACAGAATACCAGCCTTCATGGAGTTGTTTCACAACTCACCATATTGTCAAAATGTAAACATATAGTTACAAAAGCAGGGAATGATGTGTACTCTTCAAAAGAAAGGCCCATCTTCTGAATCCTCATAAGCTATTCTCCACCTGCAAGCTTCAAGTTAAAATAGTGATGAAACAGTTACCACTTGTACAGATAAATGCAACTGCTACAATTCTCAAGATTACCAAGAAAGAACACAGGAACAGGAACAGGCCATTCAGCCCAACCCGGAGCCTGTTCCACCAGGACAGCCTAGACTGGATATTTAATACTATTCAGGTTCTCTACTCTTCTTACCAAAGCATATATCCTCAAATTTCCCCACATTATATTCCACCTACCAAGCATTTCCCCATTCGCTTAATCTATACCACTCTGCAGCCACTTTCTACCTATTTTGGTGTCATTTGCATGTCATCTACAAATTTGGTGATAGTACATTCACGTTCCTCATCCAAGTCATTAATATATATTATCAATAACTGTGACCCCCATCCCACACCCCTGCAATGATCACTGATCTCATACTCATCCACAGCCAGTGTTAACTTTGGTCTGTCTCTTCTTTTTCAAATATTTAAAGAAGCTCTTACTCTCCATTTTTATATTATTTGCTAGTCTACCCTCAGTTTATTTTCTCCCTCTTTTTAGTTATCTTCTGTTTATCTTTTGTGTTTCAAAGTAAGACTTTCCCAATCCTCTGCCTTACCACTAATCTTGACCAAATTGTGTGTTTCAGTTTCAATTTGACACTATTATTAACTTCATTGTTTAAACATTTACGCCCTTCCTGGAATCCTTCAGGCTTATAGTGCAATATTTTCACTGCAAGTCATAACCTACTTTCTTAAATGTCTCATTGCTCATCAACTGTCTTTGCTGCTAAAAACTTTTTCCCAGTCCATTTGAGCTAGCTCTACCCTCATTCTTTTATAATTACCCCTATTTAACTTTAGCACTTTAATTGCTTCCAACCCAATTTTCTCCTTCTCAAATTGAATGTTAAATTCTATCATATCATGGTCACATTTTCCTAGGGGATATTTTACTCCAAGATAATTTATTGAACCTGCCTCTTTATGCACTCTATCCCCAACTACACTCTATGAATTCTCCATCATTGCTAACTCTGCTGATTTGATTTTTCCTAATCTGCATGAAGATTAAAGTCTCACAAAATTAATGTACTACCATTTTTACATGCCCTCATTATCTCCTGATTTATTCTATGTTGTACGGTATAGCTACTGCCAGGGTTCCTATGGAACTCCCAACAGCATCATCTTCCTTTTATTATTTCTTATAACCACCCATACAGCTTCTTCCAATCCAAGATTATTCCTTGCTATCCTAAGCTACCCATTACCTCTTCCCTCCCAACTGTCCTTTTGAAAAGACACATACCCTTGAATAGTTAGTTACAAGGAGAATAAAGCTGGGAACTGTGTCTTTGTTATAGTTATAAGATCGTATCCCATTAATCTCTATTTGTGTCATGAATTCATTTGTTTCAAACACTATGTTTGTTTTATAACCTGCAAGTCAAATTGGTTCAGTACCTTTACAAAAGGCCTCATTTCTCATGTGAACAAAGATATCCCAAGTGCACAGGATACTATCCATTAGAGATGGGCACTGCATTTCTCCTGCTCTTTGATCAAAACACCCATGAAAGACACATGCAGTTTTCAAGCAGTGGGAGACAATTTCAGTTTGCAGTTTCTATGGTGATAGAATAAATAGTAGAGATTTTCACGAGGCTATAAAAGATCACAGATATGCCATCTTGCACAATTAGAAGTATTTTCTTCTGTTGCACTAGAACTTATCAGTCCAAGATGATGGGAGGTGGTGGACAGAATGACTGCTTCCAGTTATTGGCCATAAATCAAAAGTTGTTTCCAAATGGTAACAAGATACTGAAAAGGTGCAAGAGGAAAGCACGAAGAGTTTGCTTGCACACATCAGTGACCGAGGATGCTATGTCTATAATTCCTCTGACCTACAAATGAATTACAAAAAGCATGAATGAGAATTATGGAAAGGAACAATATCTGAACAACAATAAGCTAAAGCATGTAATCTTAGGAAATAAGTGTGCATCAGCTTAGACGGTCATCTGTATGCTTACCCTATTGACCCTTTCGCAAGGGAGGCAATCTAACAATTAATTGTCACAGATTCAATGTCACAGAATTTCTCTCTAAATAAAGCAGCAACAACAACATTTGTTCATACACCACTAAAGTATCACAAAGTACACTGCAGGATCATTATGCCAACTGTACCATTAACTTTAGTTACTGAAGGTGAGAAAAATGAACAATGTCATTGTGATACCAGATCACACTGAACTGGAGCACTGGTCTGGGATACTCCCATAAAGCTGTCCTATCTTACTATCCTACATATATAGTTACCATTAATAATATCTTTTGTTATTCACTTGTGAAAATTATAGTATCATAGAGTTGTACAGCACAAAGTGGGAAGCCAGGGGATTGAGAAGCCTTTAAAAGCCAGAGATAATTAATAAAAGCAATAAGGGGAGAAGATGAAATATGAGATTAAGCTAACTAGTAACATAGAAGAAGATTGCAAAATTTTTTAAAGGTATATTAAAGGTAAGAGACAGGCTAGAGTGGGCATTGAACTGGAAAATGAGGCTGCAAAACTAGTAATGGAGGACAAAGAAATGGCAGAAGTATTTTACGTCCATTTTCACAGTGGAAGACACTAGCAGCTATCAGAAATTCAAGAGAGGTAGAGGTGAGTGCAGTGGCCATTACTAAAGAGAAGGTGTTGGGGAAGCTGAAAGGTCTGAAGGTGGATAAATCACCAGGACTGGATGGATTACACTCCAGAATTCTGAAGGAGATAGGTGAGGAGACCGTGGGAGGTGTTAGTGGTGATCTTTCAGGAATCACTGGAGTTAGGCAGGACCCCAGAGGATGGTAAAATGGTGAATATTACACCTCTATTTAGGAAAAAAGGGAGGCAGAAGACAGGAAATTAAAGGCCCGTTAGCCTGACCTCCGTCATTGGTAAGATTTGAGAGTCTATTGTTAAGGATGAGATTGCCCAGTACTTGGAAGTAAGTGGTAAAATAGGGCAGAGTCAGCATGGCTTCGTCAATCTATCAGAATTCTTTGAGGAGATAACGAGTTGGAAAAGGAGAGCCAGTGGAAATCATTTCTTTTGATTTCCAAAGGCCTTTGACAAGATGCCGCAAAGCAGGCTGCTGAACAAGATAAGAGCCCATGTGTTAGGGGCGAGGTACTGGCATGGATAGAGGACTGGTTGACTGGCAGAAGGCAGACTGTGAGGATAAATGGGTATTTGTCAGTTTGGCAGTGACTAGTGGGGTTCTGCAGGGGTCAGTTTGGGGACCACAACTATTCACGTTATACATTAATGATCTGGATAAAGGAGCTGACAGGGAGGAGAAACTAGGACCCGAGGGCACAGCCCCAGCATGAAGGGACAACGCTTTAGAACTGAGGCGAGGAGGAATATCTTGAGCATACTGCAAGTGCATCAGTGAGATGCCATGAAAGCTGTGAGGGGTTAGCAAATGTCAGAGATCAATGTCTGCAGGCAAGG